ACTGTATCCAGCTCTGGCACCCCCAACATAAGGACATGAACCTGTTGAGGTGGGTCCAGAGGAGGCTACACAGATAATCAGAGGGCTGGAGCACCTCTCCTACCAAGACAGGCTGGAGAAGAGAAGGCTCTGGGGAGACCTTAGAGCAGCCTTCCAGTACCTAAAAAGAGCTGGAGAGAGACTTTTCACACACAAGGGGTAGTGATAGGACAAGGGGTAATGGCTTCAAATTGAAAGAGGAGAGGTTTAGATTAGATATGAGGAAGAAATTCTTTGCTGTGAGAGTGGTAAGAAACAGGCTGCCCAGAGAAGTTGTGGATGCCCCATCCCTGGAAGTGGTCAAGGCCAGGTTGGATGGGACTTTGAGCATTCTGGTCTATGTTCAACATACATGGCAGGTGCATGTATCCAAGGTACATGGCAGGAGGGTTAGAACCAGATGATGTTTAAGGTCCGTTCCCACACAAACCATTATGATTCTATAAACCCTGAGCACAGTTAAAAAGACAGCAATAATCCCTTCTTGCTGAAACACGGTAACATGTTCAGTATTCCTTATTCAGGTAATGAATATTGGAGATGTCAGAAAAACCAGCACTGCAGGCATTGAAAGCCTATTGATTTTTTTATCATAGTTGAAACATTGTAGAACACCAACAAAACAGAATAAATGTATTTGGAAACCTTTCATTTTTATTTATTTTTCACGTAGAAACATGTTTATTGCTGTTCTTTTTATAGATTTTGGCTGTAAAAACATCTGTGGATTTTAGTTCCCTCATCTAACAGAGTAAAATGTTTTGAGTGTTTTCTGGTTTTCTTTTTAATGTGTTATGAATATAAAAGTCTGCTTGTGGTTTTTGAGACCATTTCTAGGCTGATGGATGGTAGAAAGACTGTCAAAACATGTACAATTTCTTTAGCAGAGAAACACACTACAAGCTGTGAAAGCCTGAATGAACTGTGGGCTGTATCAGAATATGATAGCGGGGAAGCTTTATCCTAAAGGAAGATCTTATCGAAAGAAATAATAGAATTATTTGAAAGGCACAGGACATGTGCACCATCACACCCCAGAAAAAACCCACAACAAACTCCCCTTCCCCCCTCAAAAAAGTCCAAACCAACAAAAAACCCAAACCCTAAAACTCAGAAATCATATGGACTGCAGCAAAATTTCAATTAAATATTTGAGACCAAAGAAATCGGAAAAATGCAATTTTCAGACATCAACTTTCAGTATCTAACAGGGCAGCAATACTAAACAGGGGCAAATTAACTGTTTTTAAAGCCAGCAAAAGAGGACCTTCTTAAACTGGCTGAAATAGATAATTATGATGCGATAACATCATTCCTCTGATTTCCTTTGATGTAAACATTCTAGCAAGACAAAAGCCCTGAAGAAAACATCAATCATGCCTATATAAATATATAAAACTTCTGAAATTCAGGCAGGGTGGTTATACGGCTACAATCTAAAAAAAATCCAATTTTTTTGCAAGTGCTGTTCTTTGCAACAAAGAAATACCTAATGAAGTAAAAGAAACGAACAAAATACCTAATGAAGTAAAAGAAGTGTGACAAAATGTAAGCATAAAATAATAGCTTATAAGAATTTTCTTTGTGTTTAGAAAGAATTTTTCTCCATTTTAAAGAAGGTGGAATGGTGACAGTGGAAAATCCATGCACAACTCAGCTCTTATCTCACCATTAAAGGATCAGTGATGTAAACCAAACACTGCTTAACCTTCTTCTTCATGATCCATATTTCTTGCACTATGCAGAAGGGCAATATATCTGCTAACTCCTGTACACTCCTTCTATATAAAAGCCAGCAGCAATATTCCTCAGTACCCTTTAAGAACAAGCGGTGAATTTATCATATCTGCTTGTAATGCCCTTTGGGACTCTTCAGGAAGAAAGGCACAGTAAATGTAAGCTCATTAGCATCATTAACTCCTTTTATACACCAGCTGAGCTCAGAAGGAACAAATGGGAGAAAAAATATAAGGGCAAAAAAGGTTAAATATATATGCCATTCTCTTCCTGGTAGGTATTGTTAGTTTTTAATATTCATAGATACCTTTATTAGATGAAACTTATTATTTATTAGGAAGTTTTAAAATTAGCTTGATCATTTGCTTCTATGAGGTGACACGTTGCTAAGGAAGAAGAAGAAAAGGGGTTGACCTATGTTAAGGGACATGCAACACAGCAGTGCCTAACTTATTACATGTTCCCCTAAGCCTTAAGGTTCCCACAGGTACACCTCATCTACATGTGTGAGAGAACAGTCTGAGGAAAATGAAAAACTTTTGGTTTGTCCTGTTTGTGTGTTTTGTGAGTTACTGTCATGGTCAGGAATGACACCTGGAGTTGAATGGGACAGGACTCACCAGCTTTAGCCATTGAAAGATCACATTTTTCACTCAAAATAATTTTCTAAGCTCCTCCTAGCATAGACATGTCTGAGTGGCACCTGCAGTTAGGATTATACCACACGTTGGACATCAGTATCAGATAAATGGCCTCAGGAAGACACTTTTCTCTCTCTGTTGACAGCAAGGTCAGCCCAGTGACTACCCTCATGTACAGCCTACCTCTCTGACAGCTAGGTGAACATGTGCAGCTATATTTTTAATATATATAATCAAGAATTAACAATTCATACAAAAGGATCCTTCTGACACTACAGCTTGATTCAATCCCACTGAGAGAAAATGGTACTAATCTTGCCTCTGTTGTTGCAGCCAAGAGATTGGGTTTATGTGTATATGAGACATGTATTTTCTGTTACTGTTGATTTCCACAATTTTCTTTGTCGATCATTAATACAAAAAAGATAGGGCCCCGACCTGCAAGCACATCCCAGGTCCTTGGGATTTCAAGACTTTAGAAAGTGACCCACAAGAATTTACAGGACTAGAATCATAGAATCATAGAATAGGTAGGGTTGGAAGAGACCTCCAAGATCATCAAGTCCAACCCCTGATCCAACTCCAATTACTATATCATGGCACTAAGGGCCACATCCAATCTCTTTTTAAAAACCTCCAGGGATGGTGAATCCACCACCTCTCTGGGTAGGCCGTTCCAATGCCTGATAACCCTCTCTGTAAAGAATTTCTTCCTAACATCTAACCTAAACATCCCCTGGCAGAGCTTGAGCCCATGTCCCCTTGTCCTATTGTTGGTTGCCCGGGAGAAGAGACCAACCCCCGCCTGGCTATAACCTCCCTTCAGGTAGTTGAAGAGAGTGATGAGGTCGCCTCTAAGCCTTCTCTTCTCCAGACTAAACCCCAACTCCCTCAGCCTCTCCTCATAGGACTTGTGCTCAAGTCCCTTCACCAGCCTCGTTGCTCTTTTCTGGACCCGCTCCAGCACCTCAATGTCCTTCCTGAACTGAGGGGCCCAGAGCTGAACACAATACTCAAGGTGTGGCCTCACCAATGCAGAGTACAGGGGAAGGATCACTTCCCTGCTCCTGCTGGCCACACTGTTCCTGATGCAGGCCAGGATGCCATTGGCCTTCTTGGCTACCTGAGCACACTGCTGGCTCATGTTCAGCCTCCTGTCGATCAGCACCCCCAAGTCCCTTTCTGCCTGGCTGCTCTCCAGCCACTCTGTCCCCAGCCTGTAGCGCTGCAGGGGGTTGTTGTGGCCAAAGTGCAGGACCCGGCACTTGGCCTTGTTGAACTTCATTTCATTGGAGTTTGCCCATCTCTCCAGTCTATCCAGATCCCTCTGCAGAGCCCTCCTGCCTTCCGGCAGGTCGACACTCCCTCCCAACTTGGTGTCATCTGCAAATTTGCTGATGATGGACTCAATCCCCTCATCTAAATCATCGATAAAGATGTTAAAAAGGACTGGGCCCAGCACTGACCCCTGGGGGACACCACTGGTGACCGGCCGCCAACTGGATGCAGCTCCGTTCACCAGCACTCTCTGGGCCCGGCCCTCGAGCCAGTTCCTGACCCAGCAGAGAGTGCCCCTGTCCAAGCCATGGGCTGCCAGCTTTTCCAGGACTATTAGATCCACAGTCCTGATTTCAGTCCCTAAACCAGGGAGCTCTGGTATCTTTTACTGAATTTCTGATCTTTACATCAAATGGATTAAGCTTGACAGGGGAAAGAATGCTTCTCAAACTGCTTTATGGGAAACGTTTTAAACTTTTAAACCGGTTGGACATAAGTTGCAAGAAAATTCTTAAAAATGGAAACAAAGGCGATGGAGAATCCTTAAGGGTACTTCTATAATATTTACTTCCATATTCGGCAAGCTGTCACCTGAATGAAGTAAAAATTAGAGGAATAAGAGGAAGAACTGTGAAGTTTATCTGACTGTACAAAGCCAAGAAACCATACACAAACGACCAAAGCAGGAGAGAAATCCATGGAGACACTTCTGATGCTGTTCCGCTGCGGGCCGATGTTTGAACACCATATCTTTCAGCTCAGCCTGGTGCTTCATGTTGCGCTCTCACCCGCCGCTTTCCTTCCTCGCCCGTCGTGGCCTCTGCCCCTGCAGCGCGACTCCTATGCCGCCCCGGCGCCGACAGCTTCCCACATCCCACCCATCCACCCCCCCACCCCCCCGCGATTCGGGCAGGGCCGAGACTCCCGGTACCGTCGCAGGGCGCTCCGCTCTCCTCTCGCTCTCCTCGGCCCCGCTGGCACCCGCGGGCCGAGGTGGGCAGCCAGACCCTGACACCGGGGCGAACCGGCAGAGACAGCGGGCAGGCAGCGGGGTCGCACGAAGGCACCAGCGCATCCCCGCACGGGGCGGGCGGGTCGCGGAGGGCACGGCTGGCCCGGCCCCGGCCCCTCCCCTCGCCCCGGCTCCCCCGGCGGGCGGGCGGTGCCTCGGCCCCGCGGCGCCGCTGGGCGGCGCTTGCGCACTGCGGAGGCCGCTCTGCCTGCCCGCCTCCCCGGCGCGCCCCGGGAGCCGCGGCGGAGCCGGTCTGAGCGCAGCGGAGCCTCACCGGGCTGAGCGGGGCCGCGGCCGCGGGGAGCCGGAGCAGAGCCCGCCGCATACAAGCCTCTGCCTGCCCGGGCGGCCGTGGCTGCCGCCCCGCTTCTCCTGTTGCCCGCACGACTGGGAGGCAGGACCAGACCCGAGGGGTCGGTCCCGACGCTGCGCCTTCCCGGCACCGGCAGCAACTTTGCCGCTCCGGCCGCGCTCGCTGCTCCCTGCCGCCGTGCGAGCGTTCGGAGGGTGCAGTGACCGATCCCAGCAAGAGTTTTGCAAAGCTCTGATACACCCTGAGCTGCGCGCAACAACCTGTGTTCTCCGAGGTGCTGGAGAGAAGGAATTATGTGTTCGCGACCGCCCGGCGAGGGGAGGTGTCTTCCTCAAGGGACTTTTCCTCACCCATAGAGCTGCCGGCTGCCCGCGACGGCGGGAGGACGCAAATGGGCAGAACGAGGCCGTTGTGGCTGCTGGCGAGGAGGCAGCGGTCCCGGGAAAGGGCGGAGCGCCGGGGGGGGGGTCCTCCCGGCGCTGCACTTGCTACATTAACTCGGCGCGTCGGCGACGGCGACACAACTTTCTGGGTCTGCCCCCGGTGACGGCGAGAAGAGCCTCTTCGCCGCTCCGCTCGCCACGTCCCCCGCTGCCCGCGGCGGACCCCGGCAACAGCGGGAGCTGCGCTCCGGCGGCAGCAGAGTCGCGGTTGCTCCCGCTCCGGCCCCGGCGAGGAGGGCTGTCCCCGGGAGCCGGGCGGGCATGTCTCCCGCTTCCAGCCCCGCTGAGCGAGGCGGATGCCGCCTCTGAAGGGGAGCGTGTGAGCCCCGCCGCCTCCCGGCCATGCGGCCCCTCCGCGCTCCCCTCGCCCTGCTCTGCCAGGTGCTGAGCGCCTGGGCTGCCTGCGCCCTCGCCCCGGCTCCCGTCGCGGCCGCCGGGGCGCCGGCGCCCCCGCAGCGCGCCCGCTCGCAGCC